ACATACATGTTGGCCTTGTTTATGTAGGACCAGATGCAACTTGATATTTGGCCACAACTCAGAGTCCCATGGATGTATAATGCTCTTCTTACACACTGCTACAGATGGAACACCAGGAGTTTCCCCTCTTCCATAAATAGCTCAGCTGGTGCACCTGGGCCTACTCCACTGGGTCATGTTCCAGAGGTTCAGGCGCTGGCTGAAGCTTCGTTCTAGCTACTGCTACACCAACTAATTAAGTAAGGCCACTTTTCAAGTAGAGAGGCTCAATGATTCAGGCTTAAAGGATCAGTTTACCATGGTTGATGGAAAGCATTTTTGTGTAGGAAAAAAGCATGAAATATATCTGGGGGTTAGTAAGCATGATAGTTCCACATGTGTATTTTTCACTGCATTGGTAATGTCTTTCTCACATTTGACTAGTCCTATATGGATTTCACAAATGATTGCCAGTGGGGAGGGGGAAATTAAGAAATGTCTTTTGTAACTTTTTTTGCCCAAAAATAATGGTTAGCCTAGAGAGCTGGATGAATCTGCTCAAGCCTTCCGACTTAAACCCGCTGATAATTATGTACTACTACTGAGCCACTAAGACAGATCAACCAGCTAAACCACTAAGCAGTCTATCAGTCTGTAGGCAAACTAAATTGGGCTGTGCTAGACAGGCAGAGAGGTTCCCACCTTCCAGAAGGTTTGGGATCTTACCATGGATACATGTAAGAAATCCACAGTTCATAGCGGTGATGGTTAAATGAAGTTCCTTACAGTACCCACATGACACTTACATAACCTCATTGCAACAGCAGGCACAGTAACCAGAACAGTGCCATCTGGCGGGAAAGTATATTTTCTAAGGCAAAGATGCTATATAAAATCTGTTATCTTCCTAAGAGAAACATAACCGGGAGGAATATGCATAACAAATGAGAAACAAAAGTGCATTTATTGTGCAATAAACTGATAATGTGGAAAATCCCTCAGGCACTTCAGTGAAACCATTTCCACAAAGTATGTGTCAGAGTTGGTTTTTATATTTACAAGCTGTAACAAAATAACTCTTAAAAACCATTCCTTTTTGACAGATGATATTGGTTTTGCTGAATACTTGAACTGTAATCAGAGTCTACATCTGCATTTACTTACTTCTCAACTGCTATACAGGGAATATTGAGCAGAATTGGTAGAGCGGGTTGATTTCAGCATTCACAGAACAATAATGGTTTGCCCTTTTTAAGGGGTTGTTCTGAAAAATGCCGTTGAATGAGAGAGATTATAGTACTTAAAATATAGACCTCAAAACTTTAAATGTTTGGGTTTTTGACTTCCCACTTTGCTGAAGTAAGGAAAGAATTATGGAAATAAACAGCAAAACAAAGCATCCAGTAAAGCAAGGTCAAAATAGTGCCGTATCTAGCATTCTTTCACAGAATCACTGAGGCATTAAAACATGATGAGAGAAGAGAGCTCTAGAGAGAGAGTAAAGAAATTGCACAGTCTTGTTTCTCTATGTCTTCTCTCATAAGCATTACTGTCATGAGAGAAAAGCGAATATGCTTAACACACTCCTAGCTCTTCAGGAGGAAATGTTCCAAGGTCAAAACAGCTGTAAGGTCTCCAAATCCCACCATTCAAAACTAGGCAGAAACATGCAAAATGCAACATTTTCCACAGTTGTTGGACTCATAATACCAAGTTTGTACTCTAATGAGCTAAACAAATACTTGAACTTGAATGCATTGCCCAAGATATGGAAATACCTTTTTTAGTTAGCACATGAAGTCATAGTGGGTTGCTTGTTCATGGAACAGGCCACAGACTAATGATTGGGCTTGCTGTCCTTTGTTCTTTTCGCCCTTCCCTTCAGTCCTCAAGCCAGCACATATCCTTGAGGACTCTGTGGCAGAACCCATCTTTTCTCTTCCCTCCCCTCCACACTCCGATCATCACCACTTTTCAGTCCCCATGTTTAAAAAAAAAAAAAAAAAAACGAAACCCAGAGGAGGCAGCTGTGTGGAGCAGAACGAATTGGGGCCCCGCTTGGGATCTTTGTGCTGGTGTGGTCAGCCCATTTGTTTTCTTCCATTCTTCTGCTCTCTAAGATATTCCTTTAAAAACTTCTCAGGAAAATTTGTACCAATGTTAGGACTGGGAATAAGTGGAAGAAAAACATATGCAAATGTAGAGCCTTGGAAGTAAATGGAGGGCAAATTTATACTAATGCAGGTGTGTGAATTTGCCCTCCATTTACTTCCCAGTCATTACACTTGCATACATTTCTGTGGGAATTAAAAATATATCAGAGAACTGCAGTAGAAGGAGGAAACAAAGATGGAAGACATGATGGGAAGTCCCTAGTGCCCATGTAATTGTCACCTTTTTCACTGGCACTTGAAAAATATTTATTTCCCCCCCTCTTTTTCCCTTATACTTGTGCCTTCCCTTCATGTGATAAGGGAACTGTAGTAACCACGGTAATAACTATTTTGAAAAGAAGCCATAGAAAGGGGAGGCGTTAGTATTCCCCTTTCCGGAGTAGGTTCTATCCTCACCCCAGCCTTTTCCCCCAAGGTTGTACCCATAATTGAAACTGTAGAGCAGTCCACTTTCTCACTGTGTACTTTAAGGGCTAAACCTGGTAGAAACTGATAGAAGCAAGATGATTGTTTAGGTTGAAATCAAATAAGCACTTACTTCCAGACAGGATACATAAGATTGCACTGTCAGTTATTTTTATTTTCTTGCTAAACAATTCTCTAGCCATACAATTCTCTGTGTGTTTACTCATGGGTAAGACTGATAAAGGTCAGTGGGACATTTTTCTAGGCAAAGGCATATTAGGTTAGCGGCTGAAGACTGTCATATTTTCTGGAATAATTTTATCCACAAGGGAATTTGTTTAGACATTACTTTTGTACTTCTGTTTTAATGACATGTTAACATTTGCAAGGGGAAGAAGCTATAACTATAAGCCGATATTTCATTTCCTTTTCAATAAAGAGTGGGAATTGCATGTATAATATTTTATGTCTGACAGTGTATTAAGGCTCATCATTAATGCTTCCCTTATGAAATATTTGATTTCTGTCCTTGACTCTGTGGTTGACTAGATCCATCCAATGCTGATGAATGTTTATATGGCTTTATTTTACCCATTATGAATCATATATACCACATGTACTCCAATTATCATATAAGAATGTCAGCAAAAATGATCTAAAGATGACTACATCCATTTGCAGAATATTTCATTGAGGGAATGTATTTTATATTTGCTGGCCTGCTAGGTTGTTTTGACAGATCCAGCTGCTACCAAATCTAGAGGTTTTTACCATTGCTATGGATTTCAGATATACTACCCCATTCAGTTAAATATTTATTTGTTAAAGTCTGCTTCTAAGCAATTAGTTGCTCATTCTTTGATACTCATGAAACATTAAGGAAAATTTTCTAAATTAAGATATAGCTCAAACAAATAAGGAAGAAAGGTCTAGTCATGCATCTATCACTTTGGGGAAAGCCAAGATTAGTAAGGATACAAATAGAAGAAAAGACAAGAAAATTATTGTACAGGGGGAGGGAAGAAAAACAGTGAAAAAAGTTACAGAATGCATGGTTTCTCTTGCACCATACAAGGTGCCACCATAGTTACAAACAAGTCAATATGCAAATCATTGTATCCCTGGCTGTAGAGAAAGGTGTAAATTTCATATTTCTGTGATTCCATTTCAGAGCTCCTAGAAAAAGCAAAAGATCATAATTATTATCTTTATGTATGTATGTATTTATTTACTGCCAAACTGATGCTCTCTCAGTGGTTCACAAAACATACACATCACAATTACAATATGAGAATAAAAACGTGGTATAAAATCTCTAACATACAAAATATAAAACAAATTAAAGGACTAAAACATTTACAGTAAAGTGGACCTGATAGAATCTACTGACATAAATACTCCATCATATGTCATCAAGTGCCTCGAAGTAGCAGAAAATCTTAAACTGGCACAGAAAAGATAGCAATGTTGGTGCCAAGAAGATCTCAGTAGGGAGGGCAGTCTATAATCTAAATGTGGGGGAACACCACTGAGAAGGCCCCCTCCTTTGTTACCATCTTCTGACCCTCCCTTGGAGGAGGTGCGCTTGTAGGAAATGGGCCCAGTCTTCCCACAAGATAGTCTATAAAGGTTGCTGACTCAGATTCTGATTCAGAAGTGGAGGAGGCGTAGGTCCTTTGGCCAAGGCCAAAGGACCCAGAGATAAACCTGGAGGTCCCTGAGAATTAGTTTCTAATTCAGAGGGAGAATTTAGCGAACAAGCTGCGATGGGAAGATGTGGACCTAACACTATTAATCTCCACTTACAACATCAGATTAAAAAGACAAACCTATTAAGAACTGTAACATGTTCTAGGAAACTGGCCCATAAGATTACCTTCCTTCCATAAGGTTGAATCAAATACTTTTGGCTTGGAAGGAGGGAGAGGTATTAAATGTGCAATCCACATCAATATGCTGTATTTCCACAATGGCCAGTATTTTACCTTGGCACATTTCCTTTGTTATTGACTTCTGCAGTTTCTTTCTTTTGTATCAGAAAGCCAGTTTAGCCAGTCAACTTTAACCTAATAAAAGATTTTAGTTAGAAAAACATTGTCCTGGATGCTTAGAAGGAAGGGAGATTAGCCGCAACACCTCTGATGTTGAAGGTTGTGTTCAAGCAAAGTTCAGTTTGGGAGAGGTATTGCATCGGCCTTATGGGTTCATCATCTGCCCATCCCAGCCTTTATTTTGCTGTCAGTGTGTGTTCCTCTGTGAAAAGAAAAATTGGTATCTTCTCAGTAATTATATCTTTTTTAAAATTGTGTAATTCTTCCCTTGATTTTAGAGATCGAACTTCTTATTTACAGATCTGACCATTGTTTAGCCCTGTTGATTTTGTTTTTGTTTTTTTTTACAAATGGCTCAATTCATCTGATTTGCTATTTTCTCCCTTTACAGAGCTACTAAAGAAGGCTGGTACCTCTACGCAGACAGTTCTAATGGAGCATTTGGACATACTGCTGATATTGCCACTCCAGTCATTTCTCTGACGGGACCCAAGTGCAGGCTGGTGTTTTGGAACTATATGAATGGTGCAACAGTGGGTTCCTTGAAGGTACTGAGAATACAGTTCATAGAAATATTGTCACAATATTCCCTCTCTGCAATATAATATCAGTGAAGAGTGGACTACTAATATTGATTTGGGCAAAACATAGGAGACTGCTTCCTCTCTTATGGCCCATTAACTAACAGCACTGTAATCATAGCTAGCTGAAAGCATCTATTAACCATGCTCCACACTACAATTGAAAATCCACAAGGGAAAGTGTGGATTAGTGGTTGCTGAATGGCAGTGTAACTGTATTCTCCTGGATATTTTTTGCGTTCCAACCCTGAGCATTTGTGGATACAATATCAAACCTTTTCATGTTGTCTTATTTCTGTGGATTGGAACTAAATTGCAAATTATAAATATGTCTTTTTTGAAATTTGATTTATATTCAATGGAATATTAACTTATAGATAGATATGGGTGATCAGCAAAAATAGGATGCCCTACTTTACATGAGCGGAAGCACTTCTCATTAACACAAAACAAGTCTTTAAAAACTACACCTTTTAAATCTCTGGAAATTACAGTTTACAGCTGTAGTCTAGCATCTGATTAAGCTGAAAAATCTGGGTTTAAGTCAAAGCAATGTAGACTCAATTGCTTTCATCATAAATATTTTAGACTGTTAATTAAAGCAAATTATCAGGCACCATGGGATGTGTCTAATGTCACTGAAGAAAACTTGATAACAGAAATATATCTTGGCACATTTAAAAACAAGAGAGAAGAAAAGAAAGCATCGTAATGTACCCCACCTGAGCTACAGCTTCCTGAAGGTGATTCACGGTTTAACATGGATGACCATACCTTGGCTTTTTGCTCACAATTCTTTTGTTCATGAAGAGAACAGCTTCACTCCTTTCTTTGCATGAGCCATGATTATACTGGGAAGTATCTAAGTAACCATAGTTTCCTGGTTTCAGCTGAACCAGGAAACTGTGTTTACCAGCTTTGAAACAAGCCAAGATATTAAACTGTAGCTTGAACTTTTAATTCCTCGTTTGTTCCAATCATGGTAAACATCATTTTCCATGATATGCATGTTGCTATAAAAAATTCATTTGGACGACGTACAAAACTATGGTTAATTACAGGCCTACTGGTTTATTAGTGGGTTGTGCAAAGGAAGGAGCAAAGCAGTTCTATGCATGAACAAACGTCCTGTGCATATGATAGTCTAAACCAGGCCAAAGTGCCATTGTGTTCAACTAGTACTATTTTCAGGCACAAATAGATGGCTTGCAAAATGTTTCAGTATGCAATTCGGTGTATGTTTGGACAGAGGGGAAAAAGTCCCACAACTCCCAGCATAGCCGACTATGATGAGGTGTGAATTGTAGGACTTTTTTTCCCATGTAGATGCGCATACAATCACATCCTTAATTGAGAGCAGTTTTGCCAAGAATCCTTCAGGATCAATTACTGAATCTCTTCATGAAGAGTTCAGCTTGTTCCAGTCTTCTCTTTGAGACAGTGAATATAATGTGTTATGTGTAGCACTCTTGTGTGCTTTAGGACAACTTTTACACTTCTTCTCTTGCTTTGTTAATGTATGAGATTCCTCTGTCATAGTACGAAAGCGCTTCTTTCTCTTTGCATGGGCCATTTTATTGTGCCATGTTATATGCAACAGGGAGATGATATCCCAGTGCCCAGTCTTCTATTAAAATGAAAAACATATAGCATGCCCCAGAGTTGAGACTGCATATCATTATGGCTGGTGATAAATCATGGAAAGGAAACACATTTCTGGGAGCGGTTGATGTATAGTTCTGTCAGAGCTGTCCAGAGGCATGATTTGACATCCATCACCATACGTCCATCTCCCTGTGTTGTCACTTTGGCTCAGCTCAGACACTTTAGCTTCAGTGAAGCATGTGCAGAGTATTTGACTCCAGGGAAGGACCTGTCACAATTCAATGAATATTTACTGAGGCAAGAATCTAGGAGGACACTTGCTGCATCTTCTGCACCTCAGACTAAACAAGAAGTCTGGGACTAGATTGGATTTCTATGCAAACAACTGGATGTTTGATGTAATGTTTAAACTGAAATTAGTTTTGAAAACTGAATGCAAATATGGAGTTATAGCAAGTTCTTAAAGAATGTAGTATGTGTTAGGATTGCTTCTTTTGTGGGGAAAAGCCAACTTCCTGACAGTGTCATCATTAGATACTCCGGCAGGAAATTATAATGGCTTAATGAGGATTCAAGGTTAGTTGAGGGCTGCTGTCCTTTCCTTTCTAATCAATAAGGAATTCAGAGAATTTCACAATACCACGTATAGATTATCATCAGTCAAAATCAGCACATACAAGAGAGCCTTGCTGGATCAAACCAAAGGTCCATCTAGTCTATATCCTGATTCCCATCATGGCCAAACAGATGTCTACAAACAGGACAGGAAAAAATAGGTTTCTTCTGTTGTTACATCCAGTAGCTTGTATCTAGTATCATACTGCCTGCATATGGCAACCTCTCTCTGTGCTCCTATGTATTTCTTTGCTGCTGCTGCTGCTGCTGCTAGTTGCGAAGCTGTGCCCGACCCTTCGCGACCCCATGGACAACACTCCTCCAGGCATGCCTGTCCTCCACCATCCCCTGGAGTCCACTCAAGCTCACACCCACTGCCCCAGTGACTCCATCTAGCCAGCTCATCCTCTGCCGTCCCCTTCTTCTTTTGCAATCTAATGTTCCCAGCATCATGTATTTCTTTAATGAGCACTTATAACAGGATGGATAAGGGAATAAAGGGGTCCAGACAACTTCAGAGGAGACAACAAAATCCTTAACTTACTTCAGTCTCTGAATGAGACCCCATTCAGACATGCCAGTAGTGACATGAGTGTGATTTCCCCAGAGTGAAATTCCATGTCATTCTGGGTTGGAGCCAGATGTGAAAGGCCAGTTCTGAGCAGCTCTTCAGTGACACTGGATCAGGAAGACCCATCAGATTGACTTTCCTCATGTAGTTCTTCTGGTATGAGACACATTCTGTAGAAGTGTGGGATCTCACCTGGAAGAAAGCCACAGACTATGTGTGAATGGGAATGGCCTTCTTTGAATTTGTTGAAAACAAATATTCTTGAAAAACTATCAAAAGTTGGTGTGAATTAAGGGATTGTTCTTTAGGATCACTGGAAAAGGTCTGGCTGTGGACATGCTCCACACTCAAATAATTTCAGGATTGCTTGCATGAGATGGTTTATAATGATTTCCTTTGATGTGGAAATGAAACAAGGGGCTAATTTGACAGTATTTGTTTAAAATGCAGTTTCTGTTGTGCTTTTCAGTACATGAGCTGTCAATTGCATATGTATAGTTTCAATGGGAACATTTGATTTTTAGGTGCTCCTCAAACTGGAAAATGTGACTTCTGAAGTCTGGGCCCAGAGTGGTCCCCAGGGTCGCCAGTGGAACAGAGCTGAAGTGTTTTTAGGTGTCCGATCTTATTTTCAGGTGGGTATAATTTAGTTTTCTTCCACTCTTCACTTAAACATGTTCAAGCTATTTAACATTCTTGAGGCACACTGCATAATGCCAGCCGCAAGACATTGTTGCCCCCTGAAGCAATAAAATCAAAATGATGCCCCTGCTGGAGACTGAAGATTATTTGTAAATTGTGCATAGTAATCCAGAATGAGACAAAAAAATGATGCTCCCGGTGGTATCTCTTATTGGAGCTGACTGCCTCATTGATGCTTTATGGTGTCACAGCCCTACCACAGTTAGCAGCATCACTGTCATATTAAAAAAACTGATTTTCAGAACTTCTTCATCTCCTGAGTCGCAAATAACAGCCTCTTTCATCTTTCAGCCTTTTTTTTTCTTTTTTGCCTTGTAAAATAATTGTGATTTTGGGCTCAGTGGCATGTTTGGCCCAGTGGCATGTTTGGCAAATAATTGGGCCCAGTGGCATGTTTGGCAAATAATTGGGCCCAGTGGCATGTTTGGCAATTGGTGAATTGTCCCTGGCACCATCACAAGATGGGTGCAATTCAGAGGAAGTCACTGACTTTCAGCGACTCGCCATGCAATCTTCATTTCCCAAGACCATCTCTGAGCCCGCATTTGACCTGGAAGCATTCATGGAGAAAATGATGGAAGCAACTACAGATCCGAAATGATCCCAGCTGCCACTGAGTAATTTGGTTATTTAGAGAAAAATTTGAAAACCTCAGTGAGTACCAAAGCTGGTTCCCAAAGACTAAAGCTTTATGGAACTGTGGACTGCAAACTCTGTTCCATTGAGTTTTGCAGATTGCGCCTGCCCTTCTTGCCATTGTCTGCTCATTGACTGAACTGGATGTTGTAAAAATGTGTTTGTATGCATTTATGGAAATTCAAAGTTGTGCATTTGTGCTCCTGAAAATGTACAAATCTCCCCCCCAGATATGCAAGTGTACCCTCAAAGCATATATTCCTGCTTTCAATTTTACAGGCAATGCACATTTTTGCTCAAAATCATGTAGCTTTCTATGACTGAAATGTGTAAAATTGCATAACAAATATTTTTAAAAGGTACACAAATCCACAGAACCAGCATGACTCAGGAAAAGCCAGTCCACTGCAGAATGTATGGGTGGATTCTTAGAAACCTGAACTTATTTTGATCCATTGCTAATTTCTCCAACATCCCACTGAGGACCCAGGGTGTCCACAAGCATGCATTTTGTTGACTCTGGACATCCCCACCAGCAGAAGTGTGAGGGTGGTAATTTGCCTCAGATTTCCTGAAGTTTCCAGTATGAAAACTTGGGTTCCATGCTGGAACCCCAAACCTCTAGAGCAAATTGGAGGGGCAAGACAGCTCCACGAAGGGGTGGAAATAAGAGGAAATTGCTTTCTTCCTGTCTGGACAGAGGAATTTCTCCTCTTCATCAGAAGTCTCTTGTGGACTTAAAAAACAACCTGTTCACCAAGGCAGACTCTGAATGTATCCTATAATGTACCCATTCATTGGAGTTGCCACAGCATTTCAGTTTTCTTATAGGAACTTAAGAAAATCCCTATAAGAATTTAGTGGTTAAGAAGGCAGGACTGCCTTATCTTGAGTTATACCATCTGTCCCAATATTGTCAACACTGACAGGCCACAGGTCTTCTGGGGGATTTCAGAGATACTGGGAAATAAATCTGGGATCATGTGGATCAAAGCAGAAGTATGCAGTGTTGTGTAGTGGTTAATAGGGTGGAACTGGAACTCAGGCAATCTGGGTTCTAGTCCCCACTCAGCCATGGCACCAGCTGGGTGACTTTGCAGACTGTTAGCCCAACCTACTTCATAGGGATGTTCCTGTAAGGATAAGTCTGAGAGGAAGAAGAGAATTTGATAGGGCACCTAGTGAAAAGAAAAAGGTGAGATATAAATTGGAGGGATGGAGCATGTCAGCTAATGCCAAGGAACAATCCCTCTCCATCTTGTGCTTTGCATGTGCATTTCCATCACCCTGTGAACCACAACTTCATCTGTTTTTTACAGATTCCTGGTTGTATTAGAACAAATCTTTTTATATAACTAATTTTCACACTACAGGTTCTTTTCAGGACAAAACGGGGCATCAGTTATGTAGGAGATGTTGCTGTGGATGATATTTTTTTTGAAGATTGCTCCCCTTTGCTGATCCCAGACAAAAATTGCACTTCAGAAGAATTTACCTGTGCCAACAAATTCTGCCTCCCAAAGGATAATCTTTGTGATTTTGTAAATGACTGTGGAGATAATTCAGATGAGAGTCCAAGCATTTGCAGTAAGTATGGCAGCTCCACATTCTAATGAGCATATGGTAGTGTCATGATTGAATGAGCAGCGGTTTTCATGTCTCCAGTGACATATTTAATATAGTAGTACTACTGCCAGTTTATCAGAAATATGAATGAAAAGCATGCATTCCCTCAACAAACTTGATTTTTTTTTTTAAATTGGGTTTTCCTGCATGCACACTCAGACTCGATAATCCAGGCTTCTCGCTTGTGCACATGCTCAAATGCACACACTGGGGTAGCTTAGCCATACAAGAAATTTGGCAGACCTCTCGCGTGTTGGAATCCCAGCGGCTCTTACCTCTGCTTTGTAAATGTCTTGGTAAAGGAAAGCTGCTACTTACACAGTGAAGTGCAACTTATACTGCTCTGCGTTATGCAACCTTGTAATGGTCTGGCCCTGCCTGAGATCTTATATAGAAGCTGGAGCTACTGCTTCTTTCTGGTTCTCTGCCAGGCACTTGCATCTGCCCCTCCTTCTCCAGCACATGCCCCTTGCTGTCCTCCTGCTCCCACTGAGCATGTACTCTCCAGGGTTGGGACAAACCTGCCCCTGTCTGGTGGTGGCTCTTTCACATGTCTTCACTCATAAGAACACCCTGCTTTGTCTCCATGTTGTATCTGATGCTTTTAATCCACACAAAAATGTGTCTTAAAGCAGATATAAATACCTATGTTTGAATGTGCTGCCTCTCTTCAATGTGCTTTGAAAAGAATGTTGGTCATCATTTATTTACTTATTTATTTATTACACTTCTATACCATACCACCCCATAGTAAACTGGGCTCTCTGAGCAGTTGACAAAATTTAAAGCTGTATAAATGCAATAAATTGTCATAATTAATAAAGCTAATACGACAATAATTGACCACCCAACTGCAAGTATAATAAATTACTATATGGCATAGCAGCAATAAAAACACAATTAAAACAAATGTTAGCTATTAAAGAGTCAGGAAAATAAAAAAGTTTTCACCTGGTGCTGAAAAGAGAACAAAAATGGCTCCAGGTGGAGCTCCTTGAAGAGCCTGGGCCAAAGACGGAGGTGCTACTGCTGAGAAGGCCCCTCTCTTCATCATCATTCCTTGGCTTCTTTGCGGGAGTGGCCCTGAGAAGGACCTGAGCAGATGATATTAGGGGCTGTGTAGGAACATATGGAGCAGGGCACTCCTTCAGAGACCCTGGCCCCCGGCATTTATTTTTTGTGCACCAATATGAACTATACAAAAAACTGGCAGGGTGAATCACAGCCATATCTCAGCTTCCTTAAAGCTGCTGTATATGCCAGCATATTAGACCACCCTTGAAACTGGAAATAGTGAGGCAAAAATCAAGGGTTGTCTTACATGCCAGGTGAAAAATTGTTGCAAAGAAAAGTATGACATCAAGTGAATGGCCACATTCTTATCAACAGATAATTCCAGAAGGTAGAAAAGATACTAGTTTGTATTAGAATTCATAGACTGAATTCCTCAAGCATCACCCAGTGTAGCTGCTGGTGCCTCATCATCTGAATGATGATGTGGGGATTCACCTCCTCCTCCTCCTCCTGCTTTAGAGCCCACAGAGTGCACTACCAGAAATATGTTCACATTATTGTCAGTATCAATTTTAGTGATGTTTTAGTCTTGTGGTACAGTTAGGGATATCAGAGGAATATGCAATGAATTCATATGAGCTTGGATTTCTCGGAATCCATCCTGTAGATTCCAAAGTGGGACACATGCCCAAGCTGCACAGATTCTGTGTACTTAGGGACCATTAAAAATCTTATACAAATTTGGTTGTAGAAAAATAAAAACAATGGCCAAAATATATGCATTTTCTGCTTAGACCTAAGTGTGAAAATGCACATTTTGAGGGGCTTTGTACATTTTAGAGCTGAGAATTTCCACAAAACTATATGTATCTGATTCCATGAGCAGATAATAGAAAGAAAAGCAGCTGACAATTCATGAAATGCAGACAGAACAGATTTAACAAAGTTTGTACATCACTAAGTATAATTTGCATCTTGAACACAGTAACCATATTTTAATATCTAAAAAGTGAAAATGAAGTAATACATTTATAGAAATGTACTTTGAACGGAAGTGAGCTAATAAACTATTTATTGCACTTTAAACTGCAACCCAGTTTCAGCTAGTTAAAAGGAAAATTAAATGTGCATTCCTACTTTTGCAGTTCACTCCAATGGCCAGTATTTAAATGAGCAAATGGCAATGATTCATGCTTTATAAAAACAGTTTTTACAATATGAAATTCCTTGTAAATCACTAAAATGTGTTCAATCTTCATGCATTTCCAGTACTCAAGCATAAAAACTGAAAATATAACAGCAGAGGTCACTGGCCTCATGATAAGATATGCCACACAAATACTGTCTCCAGGCCAAAGGGGGACATAGGAGGTAAACAGCATTTCATTTCCTAGAAAATTGCAATATGGTGCTCTCCTGTTTACATGACTCTAGAAGTTAATGATGCCAACACATGTTAAATGATTCAGGAATAAATGCCCTACAAAATATACCAAGTTCATAGAAAGTTTTCACTTTGAGTTTTATCACTTCAAATGTTTTAATTTGAAGTTTCATTTTGAAATAAAATTAAAAACACAGGTGTAAAAGTAAGAGCATCATAGAGGAATTCAACAAGGTCACCAGTTAGGAGAAGAAGGGAAGGAGGGTCACTACTAGCAGCTGCTAGGAGATTATGGATGAGTGTGTGGGGCACTTGAAGTAAGGCTGGGGCAGAGTTGAAGCAGAGGAGACTCTGCTCTCTGCTGCTGGCCCGAGGCTCAAGGCCTGTGGTCCAGGAAGAGCACCAGGTCAAGACCGAAATTCTCAGGGTGGCAAATAAATGGAAGAGATCTCTTCCATTGCCTACTCTATGACCTGTGACTGAGCACTAAAAAGAGAAGGAAGGTGAGCAGGAAAGGAAGAAGTAAACACAAGAGGAAGTCACCATGTCCACAAATATGTCCTTTTTGGTTTGGTTTTGCGATGTTACATTATATATCTAGATATTTCCTCCCTCCCTATCACTCACAGCTTATCTGTCATGTCTTTAATTTAGTCCATAAGCCTCAGGAAAGAGACAGCCATGCTACTTATCTTTGTAAGTCCCTTTGGAGCCTTTTTTAGTTGTGGGGTGAGGTATAAATTCTGTTATAAACAACGAGTATGACTTAGATCCTGATTTGCCCTTCCATGCATGGTTGAGCACCTTTTGTTCACAGCGGAATCAGGATCTTGCAGAGCTCCCCGCTGGAAGGGAACAGTGCTGCTGTTTCTCCCTGCTTTCAGGGTTTCCCTTCTGACCCCCAGTATCAGCTCCCACACTGTTCCCAAAGGTTCCCCAGCTCTCCAGAACATCATGGGAGGTGGCACTTGGGGCTATTGAAAGAAGGCAAAATTGGAGAAAATTGCCATCCTACCCCCTTTCTCCTGGGCCAGTGACTCTGCTGACTATAATATGGATCAAACTCTCTATCTTGAACATCAATTCTTGTATTCTTTTAGAAGATTTATGCTACTTTAGTGACCGTCATGCAGTTATTCTTCATCTAACTTATACAAGTTCCATGCCTACCCCAACGGTCCCTGTTAATTTATCTTTATAATAATAAGAATGTCTGAGTGCCTATTGAAAAAATGACATGGTGGAACAATTCCTCAGTGCATAAAAATGTAATTAAGCTCAGAATATAATCCATTGTTCAGCTCAGACCTATATATGTGTGTGTGTGTGAAAGATAATTGGATAGCTATGTTCATTTCTGCAAGGCATGCCTTTGTTGAGAGTGTACCAAATGGTGTAGGGTTGGCCATGATCCCCTGTTATCACCGCCTCAGAGACCAATGCTGGCTGGGAGGGCTGTGCAGTCACAGTGATCCCATCCTCCAGAAAAATGCGTGCTTGTGAGAATGGATTTCTCAAATTGTTTCTTAACATTAAAATGAAAACGTAGCCTGTGCTGCTTCTTGATAATAAATTTTCCCTGTTATGTATGAAACTGTGTGTCGATGATGCCAGAAGCCGGCAAGACACGATGATGAATGTCCAGTGCTTGAATTGTTTGTATTTTTGTTGGTTTGAATTTAAATTGTGTCTTTTAAGGAGGACATAAACATTTCAAGAGGGAACTAGGGTGGGGGCATAGAGGCCCAGCCATTGGAATGTATCCAGAGGTCCGATTCTTTAAACTGAAGACTGTAAAAAGCAGAATGGACTTTGGATGGATGGGTGGGAGATAAGCACTATGAGGTTTTTTTAATGAACACCTTGATTTGTCTGGGAAACTTTGTTCTTCGTGGTCTCTGCTCAGCAATCACAGGGACTCTGTGCCTGTGCGTTACTTGATTTGGGAAACTTCTATAGCTTTGGAAATTTTGGCAAGAACCCTCAACCATTATCCCAGTGTGCATGCCCCTGGGAGGTCCCTGCCAATTAATTAATCAATTAATTTTTATACCAGCCTATGACTTTGGGCAGTTGACAATAGTTTGAAACAATTTCAAAAGATAAAATAAAATATATAAAAATGTAAATGGTTAAAACTACAGAATAAAATAGAAGACCAGCAGCAGTACACAGTAGAATAAATGATTTAAAGTGGTCTAATTATTCTTGGGAAAGTTAAGAAGGTGGGAAGAGTGCAATGGCTCTGAAAAGAGTGCAGTGCAGGTTCTAGGTGAGCCTCACTGGACTTTCACAACAGAAAAGGCCCTCTCCTCATTTGCCACCCGCCTGACCTACCCTGCCAGAGCCTCCCCCAGAAGTACCCTCAGAAGGATTGCTGAGGATGCTTCATAAACTGTTAAGGAATGGGAATGTTAATGCCAGCATTTCGAAACGGGCCCAAATATGAACAGGCAGCCAGTGCAGATGGTAAAGTACTAGCCTAATAGGATTGTGCTTGCCAGTCCCCATTAACAATCTCGCTGTCCCATTTTGAAGTTTCTGGACCATTTTCAAAAGTAGCCCCATGTATAACACATAGTAGTAATCTAACCAAGAGGCTGCATGAGCGTGGTTGACTGCATCTAGGTTGCCTCTGCCCAGATGAGGATGTGGTTGGTATATCAGTCTAAGCTGATACAAGGTGTCCCATGCCACCAAGTAGACCTGTACCTCTAGGGACAGTGCCGGATTCAGGAGCACCAGCATTGTGGGGAATGCAAGCTCCTTCAGAACAGGCTGAATATAAGTCATCTGGGGAAGTGAACCATCTACTAACAGTACCTCATCTTCTCCGGACTTGGTCTCACTGTGCTGGCCCCCATTCACTCCATTGCTGTGCCCAGACACTGATTCAGAACAGCTGATACCTCGCTCCACACCTGCAGAACTCTCCCAACCCACAGTTTCATGTAGATGTTGATCAGTATGGGGGGTAGAATAGAGCCTGTACAGCCCCATAGCATGACTGCCAAGGCATAGAGCGGTAATCCCTAAGCAGCATCTTCTGGAATCAGCTGTCTGAGTAGGAGTAGAACCACAACAATGCAGTGCCTCCAGTTCTCAGCCCAACCAGACTTTCCAGAAGGATACCATAGTTGATGGCACTGAAAGACACTCAGTTCTCTTTTGGACCACCATTGTGGTAGCCTCAATAAGAATGTTTCTTTTTCTCAATGAGACCATTTTCCACTGCTGAAGTTTCCTCCTCCTCCATTGTTCTTTCTATCTTCCTGGTTTTATTTGCTAATTTTTTGCAATCTCTTTGATTGTCTCATCACCCCAGGACATAAGCTCCTATGTCCTTTGAGAGAGTAAACTCCTACCCATGGATGCATAGTCCCTGTTTCTTTTCTGCCTTGGAGAAGGCATGTGTATATATACACTACCAAGCTTTTATGAAACAAGCCAGGTGTACCTACTCAGGTAGACTTTGGGCTATCGTCTGGAAGAGAGCTCTTGAAGTGGTGGATTTGCTAGAGTCAGGTATAGTGCAGGTGTTGACTGACCCTCCTAAGGGAATGTCAGAGATTCTTTCTCACTCTGCACATTTCAAGGCCTACTTTCCAGCCAGCCATGAGATTGGCGGACCCACTCACACTTGGAGAACCATTGATATGACAGCCAAGAAGCTGTCCAAAGTGCAGATGTAGCTTGAGTGGTTCACAGAATGTGTTCAATCTGTCCTGCTCTCCCAATGATAATATACTTCCCTTTTTTAAAGTCCTGATACTTTCTTTTGCATCGAAACTCTGGAAAACACATTCTAGAGCATTAATCAGCTACCTGCAACCATCCAAAGCACTTTTCTCTTTAGTTTTGCTAGTAGAATAAGTTTAGATTTCCCTAGCTGAAAAATGGAAATTGTAACTTCTTGTAAACCCTCAGAACATGAAGAACACAACTAGTTCAGCAATCTTTTCCCCTGTTTAATTAGCTCTTCTAATACTGAAGTAGCATTGTCCTCATTTCACAGGTAATTTTAGTATGAAATAAATAATATGTTCCTGATTATTTATATAGTTAATCTTTTTGATCATCACATTCCTCTAAGTAGTATGTTTTTATATGTATACTAAAACTGATTAGAAGTTGTTCTGTTTTAGCTGGCTAAAAAGATTGGATTTTTGCATCTTTGAAACAGTTTATTGGAAACATAAAAGATTAACAAATACTATCGAATATTGAGAGTGGGGTTTTTTTCTAGATAGAATCAAATAAAGTTTCAGGGTACTAAAGTCACCTGTTTTGCGTTATACATATTGCCCTGCATAAGCGTTCATTAGGGAATTGCAATCATATTACTCTTTAAAAGAATGAGCTAAGATTAAACAAGAGGTTGTCTGTTAATCTAAAATCCTTTTAAAAGTATCATCAGTGGCCTTTGCATGACACTGCACACTCATCCATAAAAAACCATTCCTTGGTCCTCTGTTCAGAGGATAAAGGGGAAATGTGTTTATTATTATAATGCTAGTTTATGAATTTTGCATTCTTTTGACATTTTAAAAACATTTGATTTTGTTGGGTCTATTTTGTCAGGCGTTTCTGTTGGGCGCTGTGATTTTGAGTTTGATCTTTGTAACTGGAAACAAGATCAGCATGATGACTTTGACTGGAATCTCAGAACTGGAGGCATTCCAAGAGCAGGCAGTGGACCAATTGCTGATCACACTTTGCAAGAACCATCTGGTCATTACATCTTTATAAAAAACTCCTTCCCTCAGTTGCCAGGGCAAGAAGCCAGAATTTCTAGCATGTTAATAAGCAGAAAGAGCAAAAATTGCAAGGTATGTGAAGGAATGATAGAAGTTAATTACTAATTGCAAGAATTCAGCATCAGTGAAGCATCCCTTATAAGAAATATCCATTGTTCTTTCATTAAGCTGCATACTATGGCAAGGCAATATTTTGTAAAAAGGAGAATGGTTTCTGTTGAAAAATACAGTTGTTTGAATGAAATTAAAGACTTAAGTGGCATTAATGTTTGGATCTCAGCTACCTGTAGTAGAAAACATCTTTTAATAAAAATGTGCTGAATAATTTGCCTACCTATGCTGCACAATTAAAATTAAGCAGGGATGCACACTTATTTGAATGCAGGCGAGCATTAGTGCAGGTCCTCCACTGATGCCAATGGAGGATTAATGAAAGCTTTTTGGGGTGAGGTATGTGAGCGTATGCTGCTTAATTAGTGGTGACCTCTATGTTTTGCTTGCACTAATTTTTATTTTTTTAAAGACATTTGGATTTTAATTTGTTTTGTTGACTTCCTAAATCTTCTTAATAACTTTGGAGTATTTTAATGAAAAGAGATAAATATTCAAATAAATAGGCTGTGTGGATCTAGTACCCTTCCTGAAAGCTTGTTAAGATTTTTATTCCTGAGATGCTCTTCTCATGCAACAATTTTGATGTTTAATCTTCTTAAATGAAATTAAAATTTGGCTTCACTAGGAAGGGAGCCATATTTAATACCACTGTTCCATTTACTATTGCTTCTCTTATTTTAGATCCTGTTTTATTACCACATGTACGGAGCAAATACTGGATCACTAACTGTCTACCAAGTGACAATATCAAATTCCAGTAAAGTTCTTTTCAGCCTGACTGGAGATCAGGGAAATTTCTGGAAAAGAAAAGTGCTAACACTGGAAGCAGATGAGGATTTTCAGATAACTTTTGCAGGATTTGTTGGGAAAGCTTACAGAAGATATATAGCCCTTGATGATATCGTGTTTACTAGAGAATGCTTACCATCCTTGAACCTCTTACCAGATAAACCTACAGACTTGCCCACAACAGGTAAATAACTACTTGACTTTGTTTAGAAACATATTCTTCTTTGCTTTGGTTCTTCAACAGTACATAGATCATTACACCTAATCGGAAACAGTTATGCTTTGATACATACATTGATAAAAATGCATAAATATATTTTTTTATCTGAAAAGTGAGGTACCCTTTTAAAAACAAATGGTACTATTACTTAGAAATTTGTTCATGCACATAGTGCTTTGAAAATTCTTTTTTGTGACATTGAAATTCTTGAAATCCTAATTACTGCAGGTACTTCTAAAACATATTAAATGAGATACAATGTTCCAGTAAACAAGAAAGTAGTACAAAATCTGTTGTGTGTACTGTAGAGTGGAGATAATGAACATCTTTTGAACGAGAGGTCTTTTAAAATAAGGAGTGTATTCTGATGCTGTGCTCGAGAAAATGGTGTCCAGTTACCCCTACTAGTTCTGGGTCGTTGCAGTTCACAGCTGAAAGCACAATCTTTATTTTATTGCCTTATTCTCCTGACCAAACTCCATCATCTTAGTGCTGATGAGTTTATGCTTCAGAAAACAGGAAAATCTGAGCTATGTATACCCAAGTCAATGCATGGATAGAATGAAGTTCTCTGGGCCATACTCTAAAACTCTTGTTTACAAGGCTACGTAGAGAAGTCCTTTTTTAATGACATAAATATTTTCAGACCATGAATATAATGGTCTAAAATGCAGGCTGCGTAAAGGCAATCCAAGGGCACAAGGCCAGAAAGGGGCAGGAAATTTCCACTTCTGCAACCTTTTTTTCCACACTATCTAAGCTTTCTGAAATATAGACATTATTTTTCCCTGAACATCCATCCCTAAGCACACACAGGCGCATGCACACTAATTAGTGATGGCTTATTTCTCTTTTAGTTCACTCAAGGTAAATACTTTAAAAGAAACAAAAACATTGATCAATTATATATTGATTTTAAAGCCATTTTATTCAGTGAAATATTCTCCACTGCATTAGAATCACAGTCTCAAAGAAATAAAAGTGATGGTGAGTTCCAGACACATTTCTCACAATTTACTGCCCTTTTTATAAGGTATTCCGTGTTATGCAGAATTACTGAAAGCTGGAGGTGTGGGTGTGTTGGACAGGGGATTATATTATGTTATTTCTCCCTTGGGCTTTCAGTTAGCATACAATTCTGACATGGTGTTAAGCTACACTGGCATTATGAGTGTGTATTATTCTGGCTATAAGCTTTTTTGAAAAAAACAAACTTGCTGCTGTAAAGACTTTGAACCAAAGTTCTATGCACTGTAAAAGTACTGTTGACCGTGTTCACCTTGCAGCTATAAGTAGTTGTGTATCTCTTGGGGTGTTTAGAAATTCTTAAATCTATACTTTTGGACAATGGAATCTTTGCAAATCTGTTTAACGGCACACCTAAGATAGCAAATCTTAAGAAACATCCATGGAGAACCATTTCATTTTTGTGGAATAACCAAGGTTTTAGTCTGCAAAAGCTTTGGAAACCCTAAAGATGTTCAGAGGAACAGAATTATACAGGAATCTTGATAATCCCTTATTTTTCTGACTCAGGATATGATCTTATGCATATTGTCAGTGAGATCCCCATAAAAGGCAATGATGAACATATCCTGGAAGGAAAATGCATAAAGGATTGTATTAATGAAAAGCAATTAATCAAGGACAGGAGTCTTTGACATGACACAACCATTTCATTTGCCCAATGCGGCATATCCATCATTTTTTATATCCACCAAGGCAGTTCAGTCCAAGTTTCTGCCATATTTTTCCTTATTCTCAGTTGCTTTGTTTTTATTATATTTAAAATATTTGTCTATGCCCTTCATCTGAATTGCTTCTGGGAGGTTTAGAGTAGTATAAAAGCAGAAGCACAAAGCTAAAATACAACACAATAAAGCAAGCCAACAATAAGAACAGTGGATAAAAATGGTGCTCAGGGGTCTCATAACCAGATTGTTTACACTACTGTAAAATAGTAATGGATGTTGTAGGAACAGAGGTGTTTTTCCTTCTGAGAATGGCAAAAACTGGAGGCAGGTGAATCAGATAATAAAATTAGGTCAAGATGGAATGCTTAGTTGAAGCTAGAATATGGACAACAACAACGAAACCATGGTTCCTGGGTCAGAGTTTGGTAAGGAAAAATAAGAACAACTTTTTAGATGAGTTTAGATGATTCTAAAATCATGCAAGGGCAATACCGCTTTTTGCACATACTTTAGCATGCTGTAACAGTGCACAGCTGAGCTACAAGACAGAATATGTGACACAGTTCACTTCTAGGTATAAGAGCTAGGAGATGAATGGAATTTAATATGAGAGTAGAAAACTCTTCCAAAGCTTCATTTTTCCCCTAATAATCTCTTTCACAAGATCTCCATTTCCATCAGAGTTTATATGAGATGAAGTTTCACCTCATATAAAACATGATTCATCTACACAAGCTTAAACATTTTGCTTTTAGACTTCTCCTTTCTCTAGATAGCTTCAGTCAGCGACCATTTTCTTTCATCTTAGCAAATATGACAACATGTTTTGGTATATGTAGCTCCTGCTTTTTGTTTGTGGCCTGGTTTTTGCAAAAAAAAAAAAAGTGCATTTCAAATGGAAAAATGATTATTTTCTCCCCATTGGCCAAAGGTTGGAGCTTTTTGTTTTTGTTTTTTTATGGTACATTTAGGACTGCTCATTTTTTAAAAAAGGCATTTTTCTAATGTGATTGAAAGGCTGGCAATGTGCAAATATTTACTGAAGAAATGCAATCTTTTTCACAATCATTTTGTTAAAAAGAATGGGACATGTGTGGATGAATTGCAAAATGAAATGAAATTCTTCTGCATCTCTACTTATGACTTATTTCTGTGTAGAGGTGGCATGAAGGGGTTTAAACTCCTGTGCGCAGAGACTCTTAGAAGTTTACCGATTGTTGTTCAATAGAGGACATGGCAGATTGATTGTCGTGCAGTGAGTAAGGGAAGGTGGAGTAGTGAGATATCATCAGGCCATGCCTCCAGGAGTTGACTGGCTCTCTGGGTGTGTCAGTGATACTCTGATTCAAGATTGGTGGAACTCAGCAATGGTCTTGTGGATTCTGGGTGAGTAGCTGCCAGTGGTGTTGTGTTGTTCTATGCTTTGGGGTGGGCACTGATTTCTCCTCAACTTCAGTGTGTGGCACGCATACAATACCAACCAATGTATGTTAACATTGTGGTACTGTAAGTAGTCCAACGATATAGCAGGACTATAGAATGGATTCACAAGTAGAATAATGCCTAAAATTGTCAAAACCAGGGGCTATTGAAGCCCTTGCACACTTCAGATTCCTCTAATCTTCCTGATTTGTATAACCTTCCATATACTGCATACATTGTCCTTATTCCTGAATGGGTTTTTTCAGGAATTGTACATCATTGCCATGCTGATCAGTTGGATCTTATTGTGAGATGAGGTATTGTTTTGTATTCAGTTCAGTTGCCAGGTATTTCTAAGGTGTCGTCAGACAGCTGATGATGGAGCTCAGGAGCACCAACAAACTGTATATTCCTCTACAAAACTGGAATGCTCTGTCACAAACCACAACTGAAAAATGATTTGTTCATGCATATTTTATTTCATATCAGTGATATTCCATACAATAGCTAGATTAATTTTTGCAATGGAAATATTAAAATTAAAGATATGTGAAAGGAAATTATTTGGTAAGAAGGGTTGGATAGTTTTAGGTGAAGAATAAGAAACTATTTCTTCTTGAAAGATTAAATTAAAAAGTCCTTCACTTGACATCAAAAAGAAGGGGCAAGGCAAGACTCCCTGAGGGGTTCTGTAAGTGAGACACCACTAGCCTTACCTGGAGCTTAAGAAAGAAATATCTTTTTTTTCCTATCTGATAGCCAAAATTTGCACACCCATCAACATTTGATCTCTGTTGGATTGAAAGGATTGCATGAAACATGACATTAAATAAAACAAATGGTCTACCATAATTTGCATGTGACGATGCTCTCCTGTCAGAGGCAAGAAGCTGCCCGGCGTGAATGAATGGGCAGGCAAGAGGGGTGGGTGCTGGCTGAAGAAAGTGTGAATGAACAAATGCTTTGCATCCTCTTGCCTAGGCACTCCGTTCTATTCTCTCTCCCATGTTTTTAGTCCCTTTCTACCCTGAATAGTTGGTTTTGGGGCACTGAGCATGCTCAGTGGGCTGTTCTAACTGGTTTCCTCGCCTGACACACACACTTTAGGTCTCCCCCCACCCCTTAAGAATGTGTGTACCTCTGCAAACCTCATGCTTATTCCAAATCTGCTGTTACTGCTTTCTTGTGCATAGGTGCTACCATTTTGGCTTCTAAGTACGGATACTTAGCGAACTGAACTGAAAACAGAAGATAAGATAAAAGCTCATTAAAGCAGGAGTGTTGAGCCTCCTTCAGCCTGAGGGCTGGATGCCATTTCAGAGTTCTCAGGAGCTACATTCCAGTGATGTGGAAGGCAAAAGGCAAAATGGGCAGAGGCCGAATGGCAAAACGACCAGCATAATTCAGCTTGAAGCTCTTCTGCCAGTAGCCAAGTCTTGACCTTTCAGAATGGTGGAGGGAGGGAGCCGCATAGGAGTTGGAAAAGCACCAAATGACTCATTTCGGAGAAGTGGTTGAGGCATGAAAGACACTGTGGCTGGCTCAAGTGCCACAGAGGATTGGATTTGTTCCGTGTGCCTGATCTTTTGCACTCCTGCTTTAAAGCATAGGGACAAGCAGTTCACAATGCCATATAACCTAACTTTGCCTGCCTTTTCCCAAACTGCAACATTCACACAAATCATAGGAGTTAACTAAACAGCCCTCCCCTAAAGGGTCCAGATCTTAAAAATAATTCTTCTGTGCTGTACAGCATGACCCTAGAAGGACTTTTCATGTTCCCAAGGTGCTCATATAGGGCACAGTTTTACCAAGGGGGAAAAACAGACGCATACACAAATGTACTAA